GAGGGCGGACCTTTTCTGATAACTGAGTTTTAAGGTCCGTCCTGTCCCTTTCTCTATTTATTAAGCTATGAAAATAAACCCTGTTCAAAAATTTCCCTTTATGACATGAAGATATCTAAAATACAGAGGGCGGACCTTTTTTGATAACTGAGTTTTAAGGTCCGTTTCCTTAGTTTTTAAGCTACGAAAATAAACCCTTCCAAAAATTTTCCTTTATGACATATGAAAATATCTAAAATACACAGGGCGGACCTTTTCTGATAACTGAGTTTTAAGATCCGCCCTGTCCTTTTCTCTAGTTTTTTGAGGTACGAAAATAAACCCTGTCCAAAACTTTCCCTTTATGACATGAAAATATCTGAAATACAGAGGGCGGACCTTTTTTGATAACTGCGTTTTAAGGTCCGCCCTCTTCCTTTCTCTAGTTTTTAAGCTACGAAAATAAACCCTGTTCAACATTTTCCTTTAAAACATACAGATATCTAAAATAAAGTGGGCGGACCTTTTCTGATAACTGAGTTTTAAGGTCCACCCTGTCCCTTTCTCTATTTTTTAGGCTACGATAATAACCCTGTCCAAAAATTTCCTTTTTTGACATGAGTATATCTAAAATAAAGAGGGCGGACCTTTTCTGATAACTGAGTTTTAAGGTCCGCCCTGTCCTTTTCTCTAGTTTTTAAGCTACGAAAATAAACCCTGTCCAACATTTTCCTTTATAACATATAGATACTGAAATACAGAGGGCGGACCTTTTTTGATAAATGCGTTTTAAGGTCCGCCCTGTCCCTTTCTCTAGTTTTTAATCTACGAAAATAAACCCTGTCCAACATTTTCCTTTATAACATACAGATACTGAAATACAGAGGGCATACCTTTTCTGATAACTGCGTTTTAAGGTCCGCCCTGTCTCTTTCTCTAGTTTTTCAGCTACGAAAATACATGTAAGCCCTGTCCAAAAAGTTTCCTTTATGACATTCTGCAACAGTCATAATAAAAAGTGTAATAATTTACTTGAATTATGCTTTCCGTTATGACGAGGATGAGAGATACATGTATTTGTATAAGAATAAATTAGATCCAAGCCAATAAAATATAATTCTGGGACCGTTTTACAAAAAAAAAAAAAAAAAAAAAAAAAACAAACAAAAAAAAAAAAAACCTAGACCTTTCAATCTGCTCATAACTTTTTGTTGTACGTTGATTTGATAATAGTTTTAATCTTTTAAAGATTTTAACAAGAAATCTTCATGTCAGCTATTCAAAAAGATTCATTAATTTTATAAAATATACAATCAGCTTAAGTTTTTGGTCTGAGTCGTAAGCTCTTTTGTAAAACGATCCCCTGATGTATATGTTTTCAATATAGAGTGAGGTGCTTTAGTCTTTAACTGAACATTACAATCATTTATTTTGTTTCTGCAGTAAATGTAAATAGAGATCGAATTCAATGTAAGGTTATATTTTACACTGTCCACAAATAAAGGACCAAAATTTGATTATAAACAGAAAACAAAAGGTATGTGAAGACTTCAGGAAACCAGAGAATTACATGTACACTTTATCGATCTTAGTATTAAACTCCACACTTGGGATAAGGAATTTCTTTAAATCATATAAGGCGTTCTTTTTTATAAGTTCAGAATAACAATATTAAAAAGATCCCTCTTTTATATACAGAAAGAACCGCTGCATTTTATTTCCGGAAATCGGCATGACATTTTTGACATTTCTTTATTTTATTTCCGACAATTACTCCTTTTTTCCCCGACATTTATTTCTTTTCATTTCCGAGATTTTGCTAGGTACCTCTACCTTGATGTACCTTAATGTTTACCAGGTACATGTACGTAGAAAAGGAATTTTGAAAAAAAAAATTATTATGCACAACATTTTTAATATGAAAATTCTGTATATATACATCTGTACATGAAGCATTTAGTCTAGTTAACAGAGTGTAATGAGCATGCAATTTTTTCATCACATTTAATGTTCACTAAATTAAATATAAAAGACTGCTCCGAACTTATGTCCAAGACATTTGATTTTAATTACTAAACAGTCTTTAATTTATTCTTTAAATTTTTCCATTACTGAAATTTAATATAACATTAATATCAAATCTCGTGTAAATTATTATACGCTTAATCTAGAATAATAATTTTTTTAATTTTTAGCTCAGATGAAGATCTATACGCCAAATTTAGATTTAAATATTCAAATAAAGACTATATCATTATAATTATTATAAATATCACAGTTTTGAAGTGTACGCATGAATATTTTGTTCCTTAGCATAATTTATTGATTTAAAAAATTCAAATCTATTGATATATAATAGCTAACACATGACCATTAAATTCACCGACCATTCAATGACAGCGCCATCTGCCGCGGGCTCTACCTGTGGGTACCTGTCAGGTAAACAAATACGTCACACACCCATTGTTTTATTAGCTATACACACCGACAGATTTCACACCTTTAATCGTACTAATTTACACAAAGCAAACTCTAGGGAAAAACAAACACTTGCACAATAATTGTGGCATTATTTTTAAACAAATTTTGGTCCTAAGCGGCACTGCTTAAAGCACATTAAACGAGTAGACCATTGTCTAGAGACATGTATGTTGTACAAAAAAATAAAACACAACAGGGTAAATCATTCTTATCATATAGTATAAACCGACTCTCTTTAATTTCATATGTTAAAGTCAAGATTAAAACATTTTGCACCACCCGGACCTTAAAACGTAGGGGGACCTTTTCTTATACGGGCCGGACCTTTTCTTATAAAAGGCGGACCAAATATGTTATCGTATTTGGTCCGGCCGGACCTTTAAACGAGACGGACCAAATATCATGCGACACCGGTCCGAAAAGCTATATCACGTATCGGACCGGCGGGCAGAAAATCCATATCCAACCGTAAGTAACGTTATTTTAAGTTTTAAAGTAAATTTAATCGATTTTATTTAAAAATACTTGTAAAATAATTATTCAAAAACATTTGCAGACTTAATATTTTTTACTGTTACCTAAAATTGGCTGAATTAGATTTTCAAGAGAAAGGTCATAAACATGCGCGAAACATTTTTTAATTACTGTATGTGAACTCGCATATTAAGTATTTTAAATATATGATAAATAGAATACAACATACTAAAATCCATATCATATGTCACATCAGCCCTCGGGCCTTCGACACTCAGGATGATATGGGACCACTCGGGCTGATATGACATATGATATGGATTTTAGTATGTAATATTCTCTATGTATACACTACTATATACGTACATTGTATAGAAATTTTATTGTATTTAATGGCATAGAATTATGATATGAAAGTAAAAGAATAACTTTTTACAGCTTTGGTAACTAGCTTTACAATGGTGATTCATCTGCATGAAAAGCGGGAGGGTATATAGTAATCGTTATGTCCGTCTGTCTGTACGTCCCTCCATCCGTCTGTTACGCTTAAGTAAAATGGGAGGTACACAATGGCAATATGTTATAAAGATTCTGTGAAAGTTTCATTTAGTTTCACTCAGTGGTATAAGAGGAGGTGCAGATAAGATATGGGTACCCCAAAGCGTAACAGACAGACGGACGGACATACCGAATACAGTACACCTTCCAACTTTTCAGGCGGGGTATAAATACCATGTAACTATAATTACTTTCTCAATAACAATTAATTGCTTTATATAATGCAAATTCATGACATTTTGTACACCACTACCTCCCCATTTACTAGCTTTCATTTTATTGTAAAACATATCCTTAATCTTTCAATTATACAAAATCTTAAAATTTGTTATTTTCTTCTAATTAATATTGACATATCCTAAATCCTTCAATTACACAAAGTCTTCAAATGTGATATTTTCGTCTAAGATTGATGCTTACCTAAATTTTGAATCACCGTTCTTGGGTCTATTCAGCTATGAAACACATAAATTACATTTCAATCTTTGGTGTTTCTTTAATACTAAGTAAGTTAGAATTATGTATGATGAAGTAATGTATGATGTTCTATATATTCTTTGACAAGGATTATACAAATTTTCAAAAACAAATGTAATTTGTAATTTGAGTAAATGCTTTTGCAAAGTAATCCCTGATACATGCGCCTTATGTCTGAGAGAGGACTGGGAAATGACTGAATAGAGAAAAGTAACTTAAATAAATTCCCTAAATCAGATTATAATATAAATGAAATGGGCATTTTTGTGAGAATGACCCCCAGGGGATGATGATATAAAACACAGATATCTGAGGAACGTATCGTCTGATTTTAGAAATTCAGTGTTTATTTTCATGTCAAGATAACGAACACTTAATAAATGAATACTCCTTTCCTTTGAGTAGTCCAATTCCCTGTTTAGCAAATTTGCACCTATATCGAATAACCTAGCAATATCAGTTTGGGTTTTTACATAAAAATAAAGAAATAAAGATATTACATTTTGCCAATCAATATAAGGTTTCTAAGTAGAATAAAAATTTCAATTTTATCAAAGGCTTACGCACGCTCTTTTTTTTTTTTTTTTTTTTTTTTTTTTTACAACATGACACTTTGATAGAGTAATATCCTTAAGGTCATTTATCTTTTCAGGTGGGACTATATCAATTCAATTTGAAAGATAAAATGCAAAACACTCGAAAATTGGAAAAGCGATTTTACTGAAGTGAGAAAAATGACTATTTTAAATATAATAAGCATTACAATTTTATTCTTTTTGTTTAATAACCGACATGCTTCATCGCTGTTAATGCACGGGAACTCAAACGCAAGCAAAATAAATCATGGATCAGGTGAGCGCCCTCTTGATGCAGTAGAAATCAACCAATTGCTTCTAAACCTGACAGCAAAAATGGAAAATCTTCGAAGACAAACCGACTTAATACCTGTATTAAAGCAGAATCTCTCCATCCTTAGTGAAGAGAAAAGGCTTCTTCAAAACAGAGTATTCTTCTTGGAGGCGGAGTTAAATAAACTTAATTCCTAAAAAGCCCCTTCAAGTGATGAGCTAGCCATGTATTTGAGCAGTACAAAACAAATAGTTCAGACATTATCGGCAAACGAAGAATACGACAAAAATCTAACGTCCCGATTAAATGAAGCAGCTGAAAAGCTGGAGAACCTTGAGGTCCAGATGAGATATACAAGCCTATCATTATTGGACATCCAATCTTTGACCGAAGGTTTAAACGGGTCCTTTGTGAAACACATCGAAGAAAAAATTAATGGCGTTTATGAAAAGTTAACAAGTAAGTATAAGATCGTTTTTATGTTTATATAAAATTTAATCCTAAATTGGTAGGATCAAGAATATTTTTTTCATCATTACGGTTTGCTTTCTATTGTGGCATATTTCTGTCCCTTACATGTAACATAAATTATGTTAACATGCAATATACGGTAACTATGTTAACATGCAACATATTTATGACAACATTCAATTCTTCTTTTGGAGATCTTCCATTCCTGCCTCATGATGAGGTGGTTAATGAATTTTCTTCATCATTATATGATCCTGATCACATAAAATGCAGGGTTCAAATTTAACAATGTTTGGTCAAATTTCTGGCACTTGCTCCCCCCTCCCGTACACACACGAACTAAAAAGGCTTTGCATGGGCCTCTCGGTCTGCATGCAAGGGAATATTAAAAATTACAAGAAAATAACATAATACAATGTATTTAAGCAGAAATATTGTTCTGAATTTTACATAATTTAGAAGCTTTTTATTTAAGTTGGTTTCAGCAATGTTCTATTTTTAATTAACCTCGAACAATCTAGCAATCATGGTCCAAAAACACGTAGAACACATATGTTTTTTCACTAAATATTCCAATAAGGGCTTTTATTGAAAACAACTTGCTGTTGACAGCTGACTTTGATACAAGCATGATAATTTGTAGCGCTCTTTATTTGCCAGGATAGATAGATTGGGGCGCATATTGTTTTTGTAATGTCTGTCTGTCTGTCTGAAATCAACTTTTAACTTTTGAAACATGAGCAGTAGAGACGTCATATTTTATATGCTTATTCCACTAATTAAGATCTTTTAAATGACATTAGGTCAATGACCTTGTGATCTATGTGCTAAAAATAGCTTTTTTGATCTTTATTGTCGCCGGGTGCATAGAATTTCACAAATACAATGTACATTTTGTTGGACATAAAATAAGTTTCTATGATAAGACATGCAATACCCGTGTACAGAAAACTGATGTTTCCAGTAAATATGATTGCCTTATGATGTATCAACTAATATTATACAACAATATATATTAGCCATTATTTTTTTTTCTTTTTTAATGTTTCACTTTACAGAAATATAATCATGTTTTGTTATAAATACTATCATATCTCGTTTCTAGTCATTTGAAATATTTTATAATTAATTATTCAACTGGTAAGTCATGAACAGGTTTTAATTAACCTATCATACACAAAATATTTTAATCATTTTAAATGATATTGTAAGAAAAGTTGGAGCGGAAGAATTATTTAAAAAGAAATTAGCCTTTCTCCCGTTTTTAACAACCTCACGGGGAAAAATATGGGGGGGGGGGAGTAGTTTTTGCACTGATCATTGTGATATCCCAAACAGGTAGCAACTTATCGTTTCTGACGCTAGACATACATGTACTAGTAGCTACATTCATGGCAACCAAGGAGTGATTTTCATTTGTTCGATCTCGGAAATTATTACGGATTTCATTAGATAACACTGTTGGGACACAAACATCTGAAACCTTTATTAATTAATCAGACTTTTTTTTTAGCAGGAATAGTTTTGTAATTTCTTGTTTAGCCTTCTTTTTCTTGTTCTACAGGGACATTGAAAGATAAATTCGCATTGCTGTTTTGTTTTAAACTTAAATTTTCTATTTTTATTTTAAAACTAACATCAGAGTAATAAACTGATCTTACACGAACACTCTAAAAATCCCATGAAAACAGCATTCTTTATAACATTACATCATGTAAAGCTTTAACAAGGGGCTGAGCTCTGTTTTTGTTTTATCTCTTTACTACAGTGATTAACCTTGAACATTTCCCTAAAATTGAATATTAATACAGTATTTTCCTCACATTTCTATCCTTTTTTTACTTGATTGTAGTTTTATCATGTTTTATAAATTATAACCACACCATAATTTTTCCACTTTTATTAAATACTAAGGATATTTTTGTTCGAAAAAGTGCAAGGATGTAATTATTTGACATTCAAATGCACCAAAATACACGCATTTTTAAATACCCTTTTTTCTGCCAGAAATGCTCTCACAAAATATGTGAACAAATCATTGAAAAACACAAATTTAACATTAATTTTGTGTCAATGTCCAAGAAAACTGTTTCATAAATAATTACCATTACTCAACTTGTAGATTCATCTAAGAGAGTGGCATTCACCGCTGGTGTGACGTCTGCTAGCTACTCATGGAGCAGTGGTACCTTAATGTACTATAAAGTTATCAACAACGTGGGAGGGGGTTATAACCCCAACACCGGAATCTTCACCGCACCGGTAGGAGACTACGTGTTCTACGTCAGTATTCAAGGTTACGATACGAACAATATATACATAGATATTGTGTTGAATGGATCTAGTAAGGTCCGAGCAGTGGCTTACAGTAATTCAAGAGACCAATATGACGTGGGTACAAACTTTGTAACATTACGACTACGGAAGGGGGATACGGTGTGGGTAAGACATTACCGTGGTACAGGTTATTGGACAGACAGTGACGCACCTCGCACCACGTTCTCCTAATATAAAACTAGAAATATGTCCACAGTACATGAATGCCCCGCCGAGGGTATATTAGTAATGCAACATGAAAAATTGTATTAGTGTATGAAATTTGATCAGAATATCTTGAATACTGATACAGTTGAATTGCTTACATCAGAATGTAGGAGCATATGAAGCTTGACATTAATTCCATTGATTTAAGGTCAATGGGAATGCCAAGGTCAAAACTGTTAAAGCAGCTGAAAAGCTCTCATCAGTATGAATCAGCATATGAAGTTGAAAAATATCATATTGGTATATTTTGGTTAATTAAGTTTATGTTACACTCTTAGCACTTAGCCAACATACAATGTATTCTGAAATTTGTATCATCAGTAAACCTTTACTGATTGTTTTTTTTCAATATTTGTAATTTTATTGAAGTATTACGTAATATTTTTCCAGTCTATTTAATTTTCCAAGTCTAAGGAGAAGAAACTCAAAGAATTATTCACTTTTCTTAACCTGTGAGAAAATATTTAGTCTCCTCGAGCTCCGAATAAAAACATTTTTGTATCGTTTGTCCATAAAAAATCCGTCTTTTTACTATTGAATTACACAAACCCCAAAAATGTTAGAACTGCAGTATCTGTCCAGGCTATGCAGTGCATCACTCTGCCTGTTCTCTGTGCTTCACACTAAACTCATTAATTTCTCTCTAATTTGACATGCAATTTTCTGTTATCAGAATCACCATTATACTCATATCTATAGTATATATCTGAATATAGCATTCAAGGAGGACACTTTTTAAGGTAGGATTCTTTTCATATTTCTTGTATTTAAAAATTAGTGAAATTTTCACAGAATCAGGAAGACACTATCGGTAAGTAATAGAATCAGAGAGATTAAATTTGACCGTTTTATATTAGAGGCGAGGTCAGGTCAAGGTCATTATCTTTTTCCTTGACATAATGAATAAAAAAAATACTGATGCCAATTTATAATACTTCTATTTCAAAAGTTTAAAGAATTTCCTCTGTTTTCTCTGTTTTTCTTAAATTTTAGGATATATTAGTTATTTTCATATGCTTCATATATTTAACTTTTTCTTATTTAAGGAATAACTGTCTTATTTTCCGAATTCATGAAGTGATCAATGGATTGGCTTGTGTGATAATTTGCATAAACGCCGAAAGCGTTTATGCATAAAATTATCACACAAGCCAATCCATTGATCATCTTCATGAATTCGAAAAATCTGACAGCTATTCCTTATATTTACATGCTTTGATTCCGCCAATCCAAGGGCTCCAAGCCTGCTTCTCTCTTGGTGTTGTCCTGCCCTGTACGTGTTTTTTTTTTGGAACCGCGCCAAAACATTCATGAGGAAATAAATTACATTTACAATTGGTAATTTTATCTCGGAGAAAGACATTGGAAATGTAAATATTTTCACATAAAATAAACTTGTCTTATAAATGTATAAAATGATACAAAACAAAAAGTTTTTATCGTTTACTAAAATAATTTTTATGGATTTTTGGCTCAAGTCTGTACTTTGTTTGGAAGGGTTTTAAAGCTTACATAGTTCTAGTTTGTTTGAAAAATCATATTTGATATATTCTGAAAATTTAGTCCCTTATTATTAATTTAACTTACATTTGAAAATTTCTTCAAGTCTTTGACTGTGTAAAAATTATAACTAAATTCATTGTTCTATTATAATTTTGGGAGGCAGAAAAGAGGATATTTTCATGCGCCACCATTCCGCCAAAAATATAGTCCTTGCTAGTTTACCATTTCTGTTTAAAGTTGTACAATTATGATGAGGAAAGAAAAATAATGTCTTTTAAATCCCTTACACCTAAATATATAAGACATATAAGCAAATATACTTTGAATGTTTCATCTAGTCAGAAACCAGAGAAGAATCCTACCTTAATTATATCTACAATAAACAATCTTAAGTTAACTTAAATATAATAAATTATATTGAATGCAATAAATACAGGTATTTTAATAGTCCAGTTACCCGTCAATTAAATTGCTTATTATACCCCCCCCCCCCTGAAAAGCAGGGAAAGGGAAATACGTGTATAAAGTAATAGAGGTGTCCGTCCGTCTGTCTGTCTCTTTGTCCGTCTGTTACGCTGTAGGGTACACATCTCTTATCCACAACTCTTCTTATACTGCTGAATGCTAAACAACTACCTATAGCCTTAAGCAACCCCCCTTTTCACATTCTTAGATGTTATATCCAGAAATTTCCTTCCACCCACACCCCTGTACAAAACGGAATTCGTTTTTCCAATACCCAGATTTGCAAAATATGTAATGTTATTACCATATTTCAAAATTGCCTGACCAAAAATAACAACCGAAGTTTTACCAATTGAAGACTTGATAAAATAGATTAACTCACATAATACTTGAAAACAGAATTAATCAGAAATTTTGAAAAAAAGTCCGTCTTTTGGGACTATATGTTCGGAGAAGAGGCAGAGTGACGCGCTGCGTAGCCGGAATTTTAATTGTTTGATTTCAATTGGTCAATCTTCTTAAACAGGAAACAAAACAAAACAAAACAAAAGATGAAATAACCCTAAAGCAGGGATTACTAGTTGAATTATTGTGTCAAACAACATAATAACAATAGTACTGAGTGATTAGTAGTTTATTTGGCTGAATGGGCCACGGCCGCTTCAATGCAGGAGCCGAGGCATCAATATACTGCCTTTTGTAATGGCATCCTTAGAAAATGTGGACCCTTGGCACAGATGTCCACTGACTAGTCCATACTTAAAACATTCGTTAAAATGTTGAAAAAAGAGTTCAATAAGGCTACTGGTAAGCCCAATATACGCCAAGAGACTGTGCCGCAACACAGTCTGTGCCACCAGTAGGCATGTGACAAAATAGCAAATTATGATTTATATGAACATGTAACTAGAACCATATTAGCAAATATATGTCAATAAATGCAAGCAGTATAGCCTTAGCAATAAGCGATGACAATACAAAAATAATGGACTAGTCACAATGCGCAGCCATATTAAATACATATGTAAGCACTATGACCCAATAACTAGTCATAGCGCAGCAATGGCTCAAAGTATGACAAAAATGCAAATTATGATTTATATGACCATGTCACTAGAACCATGATAGCAAGTTTATATATGTCAATAAATGCAAATAGTATTGCCTTAGCAATAAGCAACAAACAGTCTTCAATGAGGGCAAAACATTGCCCTAAATATGTCAATAAATGCAAGCAGTATTGCCTTAGCAATAAGCAATGACAATGCAAAAACAATTGCGCCGCCTTATTAAATACTCAGTATTAATATACGTTGTTGAAACTATGACCCTTAACTAGTCATAGCGCATCCATGGCTCAAAGTATCCCTGTGCTGATGAAGCAATTTAATAATATCTGTGTTTGCAAGAGAAGCTTGTAAAAATGGTTAAAATTTTACAGGTTTTTCTGTTATCCAAGTCGAGATGTCTAACACCGTGTCACTTAACAAGGTATGAAAGTTGCAAACCTAAATAATGGCATACAAGATATATTAAAATATATTAACGGTCTGTTTTTCTTTTTACCCCTTTCTATCCCATCACTTTCATAAAGCACTATAACACTATTATGATTAAAATCTTCCATGAATTCTCTTAAAATATGCCTTCAAAAATGAGAAAAGTTAACGCTGCTTGAGAATGGGTCTTGTAAAAACCAATTTGCCCTGGAGATGAGTCGTTCAATCTGGAAAAGGATAGTTTCCCCCTTCACTTTATGCTTAGTTTCTACTAACTCCTTGCAATTTATACTGTGGTTTCATCAATTTTTGTTGGCAGCAATTTTCGTGGATTTTGTAAAACAGACGTCTTCGAGGATACGTAATTCTATTTCGTCATAATTACTTCCGGAATTATGTGAGATAGTAGTACGCATGTGCAACCTCAGTGTGGTACGAGTTATGAATGAAGAAGGACGTGGTCCTTCAATTAGCAACTTCAGTTCGTGTCTGAGTTAATGTGGTTAACTATTTTTTCGTTTGACACATTGATAAGATTTAATTAATTACAGAACTCGAGGAGTTTTGTTTTTTACGACTATTATCAAGAAAACTCGAGGAGTTTTGTGTTTACGACTACCATAAAGCGGTTCTTCGACTACTTTATGATAAAGTCGTAAAAATGGCGGAACAGATGATACAAAAGAAACAATTACGAAGTACTACTTGCTTTGAAGAAGAAGTAGACACAGAAAAGACAGACGGAACATGTAAAAGTAACGATGTTACTAAAAAGAACTCTAAAGTCGAGGTTCAGGGAACAAAGACTAAGAAGCATGGTAGTTCTGTCGGTAGTACGGTAAGCGCTACAAGTACTAGGTCTAGCGGGACGAAAAAACCTGTGAAAGTTGTGGCCGATGTCCATAACAGCGGTAGTACACAAAACGATAATCAAATTATGTGTATACTGAATACAATTCTTGAAAATCAGAAAAAACAAGATGAACAGATCGGTACATTGAACAATAAGATCAATATGATAGAAAACGAATTTCAAGAATGTGATGATTATGAAGGTTACGATGATGATCAGACATACGACGAGAGTTGTAGTAATGTTCAGCGTACAGATGATAATGTTGAAAATTCAGATAATGCTTCTGGGAAAAGGAAGAGTGATCAATTGGACACAGAAGTTGTTCAAGAAAATTCAAGTCGTTTTAAGAACATGAGTAAAAGATTTAAAAGCAGAGAAGTGTGTGATGTGAAAATAGATGAGACTTTGGCTACAAATATAACAGATTTGTTTAGAAATGGAATGAATGAAGATCAGTATTCAGATATGATTAAAGATGAAAATAATGCAAGACCAGAAAATTGTGAAGGTCTGAAAGTTGTGAAGACAAACCAACTCGTTTGGGATATTATATCTCAAGAAGCTAAAACAATTGATAGAAAAATGCAAAACATAGAAACTTCTGTTATTAAAGGTTCTATCATCCTGGCCAAAGTTGTGAA